AAGATGAATCTCTCTGTGTAGACGGTGGAGCCTTAAACCCTGACGCCGTTCAGACGTGTCCATACTGCCAGCGGACGTACCGGCGCGACGCGTCTCTGCAGGAACACATGAAGTTCTGTCAGGACCGGGATGGAGGAGACAGCGCTTGTCCTCTGTGCGGATACAGTACGCCGTACCGCGCTCAGATGGAGCGACACCTGAGCCTCCACCAGACTCACGACAAGGTGCTGACATCAGATGCATGCGTAACTAACCGCACACAAACAGAAACATAGCATGCTCATGATTTCACATCTCTTCCTTCCAGAACTCCATGTCTGAGCCCGGTCTGGAGAACAGAAAGTTCAAGTGTAATCAGTGTGGAAAGGCCTTTAAATACAAGCATCACCTCAAAGAGCACCTGCGCATTCACAGCGGTGAGAGACTCGAGCAAAGTGGATTCAAATGATTCTGCAAAAGGAATCTCACTCACAAGAAATGCCCGTCATAATTTACCCCAAACTATATTGTGCATAAAGAAATTAAAGCCTGTTAGGATTTCTCGTCCATGCAGTGCTGTGATTTTTTTTTGTAGGTAATTAAGCACATTTATCTGCTAACGTCTTATTGTAATGTAAACATATTGTTATTTTTAAAGTAATGAAAATTAGCCTAATTGTCTAAAAAATAATGATACAAAATGGTTGGTTATTTTTAAAGTAGTGATAATTACCCTGTCCAGACACAATTTATTTTTATTTTTATTTATTTTTATATATTATATATTTTTATATATTTATATTATATATTTTATTAGTTTTATATATTATTTATTTATTTCAGGGGGTTACATTTGCTGTTATAATAATAATAATAATACATAGTTAAATATATGAAGGCAATAAATCTTAAGATGATAAATAGTTAAAATTAAAAAAATATATATTTGAAATTGGAGTGAAATGTGTGAAAGTACATTTCTGCCGCATGAGAAAACTTGATTGTTAAGAAAACAGTCATGCTTTGGTAAATAAAAATTGACATAAAAAGTCAGAATTATGAATTATAAATAATCTTTCCATTGATGTATGGTTTGTTAGGATCGGACAATATTTGGTCGAGATACAA